CCGACACAGACCCGGTCTCTGTCCGTCGGATCATAAACAGCTGGTGCCGCGACGGATTCGCCTCCTCGACCTTGCGCACCCACTCGTCCGTGAGTCCCATCTGGCGCGCCTGCGACATTTGCACGGGCATCACCTCAATGTTCAGCGACCGCAGCTCGGGCGTCTGGCCCATCCGCATCGGCTCCAGAATCGGGAGGATCGTCGAGATGTGCAGACCCAGGTGATACTCGTTGTCCCGGTTGCTCTGGTTGCGCTCTCCCAGGTACGACAGCCACAACCCTTGCACGCAGCCCTCGGCATCGGCCAGGACACCGGACGAACATTGCTGCGCCAGCGGCGTGTCCAACGTGATCGCGTCCAGGTTGATGCCGCGGAAACGAGGCGTGCCGTTGTAGGGGATCGTGACGCTCGTGATGTCGGTGACGACCGTCCTCAAGCACACGGGCCGCTGGTTGTGGTTGAACGCCACCAGCGACACTTGGTGGCCCTGAACCAGATAGCTGGAAGAGATCCTGGCCGACTTGACGGGTGTGTTGCCGACAAGCTCGGGGTTGTAGGAGAGGAAGGCGACGTTGTGGGTCGGGTGCAGGTACACAACCTTGCCTGGAATGATGATCGAGTCTGCAAACGTCAGGTTCAAGTCGCCCATCGAGAATGGCACAATGTTACGCGACACCACCACCAAACCACGCTCCGCATCCAACACGAGACCAGCTCCGAATTTCTATAAAAAAAACGATAAAAATAAAATAGAGCGATAAATAGATAGGTAAGAATATGCTCATATCACAGATCACTTCAAGCAGTTCATTCAAAGACTAGTAATGCTCAAAATCAAGACTTACCCGACTCCGTGGGAAACCGTCGATACGGCATGGCATGTAGTAGCTGACCTTGACCATGCTGCTGAACAACTCCTTGGCTGGTCCGAGCGACTCGTCCAACTCGAGGAATCTTGCCGTCTGAGGAACGAGGGTCATGGGTGGCAGTGGCGGCTTGAGCGGCGTAAAGTCCCAGATGCCCGTCTTGTCATTTCTGACCGCAATACGTGCCCGGCTCCAGTGGCGATCAATCTGGACGACGGCAATGCTGGTTGTATGAACATCCGTGATGCTGTAATAGACGATCGGCACCCGCTCGCGATCAGGGATCGTCTGCATCACCTCCACAAACTCATCCAATGTCTGCACAGGGTGGTTGTCGATCGACGACAGAATCCACCCACGATCCGGGCCTTCGAACCGGAAAATACCCACGGGCTCCGACACATAGACGCCGCTGACAGGGACACAGTAGCTCCGGGCCAGCTGGTAGCTAAGCTGGTTCACCTTGGCGCCTCCAATCTCCACGTACCGATCCGGCGTGATGCTGTGTAGATCCTGCACCTTGAGCGTAAACTTGCGACGCACGCCTCCTCGCTCCGTCTCCACCACCACTTCGTTGCCGACATTGCTATCCAGACAGTCTTCAAGCGGGACAAACTTGGTGATGAACTTGCCGTTGATCGACAACAGAATATCGCCCTCTTCAATCTCGTCACACGCCGGACCCTTGGGCAGAACTGTCTCGGCGACCAGCATACCAATCTCCTCGGGGAACGTGCGGCGCACCAGGGCCTCTGTCTCTGGACTCAATCCTAACCGTCTTGTCTCGTCAAAGGGTCGGTACAAAAACTGGGTCTGAATCGTGCCTCGGGGCACTGGTTTGTCCTCTCGGATGTAATTCAGTGCACTCACGACACGATCCAATGGGAAGAAGAAATCCGTCGCTGCCCGAAGGGAACCTCCTGCCTGCAACGCAACTGCCTTTCCGTTGATGTCAATTACGGGTGATCCACTTGATCCTCCACTCGTGCTCGACGCGGCTTGGAGATAGAATGTGCTATTTTAAGACAAGCAAGAGGAGGGGGAAAGAAAATTGATGAGAAATGGCGTTCGCTGTTTTTTTTTTGATATCCTCACTTTTGACACTGCTGGGGCCTTTTTTTTTTCTTTTTCTTCCTCGATTGAAAGAGAGAAGGCATGTTTGAGAGTGTGCGGAGACATACTTGAAATCGTTGTAGGTCAAGTCGCCATATTCCGGAGCATTGCGATCAAGTCGAGAGATGGATCCTGACAAAATGGACAGCTTCTCTCCTGCATCGTTACCGACAACACGAATGTCGATACCAATCTTGGCAGCCTCTGGTGCCAGTTCGATCTGGGTCACCTTCATGTATTTGATCTTGGAGGGATCAAATTTGAGGAAACCAAAGTCATGAATGGGGTCGCGGTACACCGGGAAAACGTCCACCTCCTCATGATCATGGCATACTGCCTCGCCGACAAATGGTCCTGCGCAAGTAACATGTCTATAAAAGAGGGATTGAACAAAAAAAAATAAACCAAACCAAACCGGTGTTAAAAAAGCAGTTAACCTCGTTGACATTGCGTAGTGTGGAGGCACCACAAGCGTCCTCGTGTGTGGTTACATGCCTGTTGGTCAAGATCAGGCCCTTCTCGGCATCAACGATGAATCCTGAGGCTTCAGATGTTTCGGGACCTGCGCAAACGAAAAAAGGGGGTTATCAGAGAAAAAAAAAACACACAAAAGCAAGCAAGAAAGATGCAAGATGCGAGATGTTAGACTGCGGGGTGTTTCTTATTGTTCCAAGCAAGGAGCGGCTCAAAGCACACACAATAGTCTGCAAAGCCAATGTGGAGTGCATCCATGTCGAGCCATTTTTGGTCTCCATGGAGATAACTTTTGCTCGAAAGGCTACAAACGCCACACAATACAAACCCCCTTTCCTCCTCCCCCCATCTCTATCCCGTACGAACAACTCGAGAGAGAGAGAGAGAAAAAAAAACACCCAAAACAATCATTGAAAGGAGGAGGAGGGGGGAGAAGGTAAGGATAAGGATGTGCTAGGATAGGGGTTGGGAGGAATAGCGCAGGCCAGGGGAAGGGTGGGCACAGAGCACAAGAACAAGGTTGGACCAGGCGAGGAGAACACGGTGATACACGACCCAATACATTCGGAAAGCAAGGGAAGGGGTGAGCGAGGAGGAAGGGTGAGGATACATTGCATTGCAGATAGCTCATGGTGCGTACGTCTTTCTCCATGATCACAGAACCACCGGCGTTGGGGTGTTGTGTTGTGCTTCGTTCTCGTGGAAAGAGGGTTAAGAAAGGACAGGAGGATAGGAGGCAAGGAAAGAACAACAACAAACAAACAACAGCAACAAAAAGAAGAAAGATGCCATGTATAAAAAGTTTGCTTCCTCAAGGAAAAAAAAAATAGGGCCAATCCTCATCCTACCCCAAACTACCACTGCCATGGATCATCGCCATTTCCCCGACCTTTCCTCTTTTTAACTGCCTGCTGCCACAATTCTGCTTGTCCATCGTTACCTTCTGTATCAAACGAGGCCACCTGGCTGAAGCGGATCGATACGATGGCCTTGACGGCTTTTTCGATCACCTTCTGCCACTGCGGCGGTTCAGTCATCACCGTCTTTGGGGCAGGTGCAGCGGCAGCGGCATGCGCTGCCGACAAGTCGCCATCAGGCTGGGGCGTGTTGGTGTCCGGGAGGAGGCCGTTCTCCGACGAGGACAGGGCGCCGTTCTGTCGATGGTCCTCTGTTGCCGAAGAGGGCTCGTCTCCCTGGATAGAGTCCCGATCGGACAATGTCTCGGTGCGGCGTCGCTTGTGGGGCGGGGGGACGTTTTCGCCAGAAGGGGTCGACACATTTGTGGCTGGCGAGTCTACGAGGTCAATGTCCATTGTGATGAATGAATGAATGAATGAATGGGGGGGAGGGGCAGGTGAAGGAAGGGTACGAACAATTTCAAAGCCGATGCCAGGGAAAGGATGCGACGACACTCTCACTCAAACAATTCCAGGGGAGGGGAGAGGGGAAGGAGAGCAAGAAAGAAAGAGATGAAGAGGGAGTGGCGAAGCGAAAGATGAAATGTCAATTATTATTGCAGCTATAAAAAAAAAAAAGGTATTATTTGGGACACTCTGTTGGCAGCAATAATTATTTGAAGAGCGTGTTTTTGTTGTGCACACACAACCCAGCAGCGCGACTGCTTTTCGTTGGCTCGTAAACGCCGTGGAACTCTCTACTTCAACAAACAAATGCTTGAAACCAAGGAAATATACAAAACTGCTATTTATTGACGTGTATTGACAAAAAGGACTGGGAGTGGGGTGGATGAGGGAAGGGACCTAGTAGCTGTGGGTGGCCTATCGTAACCACTTGCGTTTAAGCATGGGTGCGCTGGATCTCGCCATCGAGGATGATCCGTTCGACGACCTCCTCCTCGTTCTCAGTGCCAAAGATCGAGTAAAGAGAGGCCTTGGAAGGACGGTCAATGTTGCCAGAGAAGCCCTTGCCAGTCTCGGTCTGGAAAACTGCGTACGACTGCACCACATCGACCAGTGCAAGCGCGGGCTCGTTAAGATCGGAGTCTTTGGACGGATGCTTGCGGTGAGCGCCTTGGTGCCGGCGCTGCTCGCGGTACTTGGCAGTCATGCCGGGCTCCGCCAACACAAACAGATCAGGCAGGTTGACATCGATGTCCTTGGTCTTGTAAATGATCTTCTCCATGATGAAAAAAAAAGAGTGTGTGTGAAGTGTGGGGTTGTACGGATATGAGGGAGTCTAGGGTGGTAAGCTGTAGGGGAAGCAAGTAGGAAAAGGGTTTTTTGTCGTGTGAAGAAAAGAAGAGATGTGTCTTTATATTATGAACAAGAAAAAATGAATGCAATCCTGACATCATACTGGCGATGTTTCGGCCGAACAGCCACCATAGAACAGACCACCACAGACCACGACAGAACAGACCATTATCAGTCTCGGGGAGAAAAAGATATACGCGGGCAACCTTCGTCATACAACATTCTTCATACGACCGATGACTTAATTCTTCTACGGCAAAACTAGGCGCGCGTTTTTCTTTGATCAATCAGAGAAACGACAAGGAAAAAAAAAGATAGAAGAAGGCAAAAGAAATGCCCCCAGCCGGACTTGAACCAGCGACCTTCTGTTTACAAGACAGATGCGATAACCACTACGCTATAGGGGCGATAACCACCTTGATTTCCAAGCCGATTCAGTACCATTGGTTCTGAAACATTATTTCCAAACCAAGAAATTGCTTAAATCCACACAAATTTCTCAAAGCCTCTCTCCGCATAAGGATCCAAAGCGTAAAAAAAAATGAAAAAACATGCCACCTCCAAGGAACTAAGGAGAGTTATGGTTTGTAAACGCACATGCTCGTTGACAAGAGACGTTTCCTTCTCTGAAACAAAAATTGGGGATAAGACTATCTCTTGTCCATGGTTTGTAAAATACCCGACGACTACTACACGCGACCGAAATCTCGGCCCCTATGCTCACAACGAACATCTTATTCTTTCAGCAAACGTCTCGCCCTGTCAAAGGTAATCTACACGGTGATGGCGCATCTTATCGTCTATTGTGATAAGCACGTTCTGATCGAAAATTACTCCAAAGGATACAAGCCTGCTCCTACACGGCCTGCACCAGTCGGAACCTAACTATTGGAAGTGAATCGTCAAAAAGACGGGTGCTATTCATTTGTTGCTAATCAACCTTTAGCGGCAGGGTGCGTGCGCACGAAAGATGGATGGAACAATAAAAAAAAGGCACTGGGAACCCTATGAATGGGATGTGCTGCTGGTCGTGCCACCCTGCTCAAGGGCGCGATGACAATGACTGGGATATATAATTTTCAAAGTGCCTCTTTCCCAGCAGGATCCTCTATGCTGCAAGAGAGCAGAAGACGCGTTTGTCAATTTCTCGCAAGCTTCTTGAGAGCCCAGCTATTCTCGATGGCATATGTGTGTATAGGTCGAAGGGACGATCAACAACAGCAGATCGCGGTTGGTAGGGTAGGACAGGTTGTAAGCAGTGGGTGAATAAGGATGAGATGGATAGATAGGGAAGGGAGGGTGCGTGTGTGTGTGTGTGGGTGCTTGACACGCGATATGAAGCTGTGCTGTTCAGCAGAGTGCAGCGGAGCGGGACAGAGAAGCGCCAGAAATTTCACTTGGCCAGCACGGCCAAAAAAAGGTGTTCTTCGTTTCTCTCGCTTCTGCTCATTGCCTGCTCTCTGTCTCTCTATCTCTTTATTTCTCTCACTTTTTCTCTCTCTGCATCACTCACACACCCACTCACTCACCAACCCCATCCCCATCCCATCCGCACATTCTGCTGCTGAGAGGAAGAAGGAGGAGGAAGAAGAAGAAGAATACAAAGAGGGATACAACCACTCTACCAATACCAAACCACAGCCTCCATTCCCCCCAGCGAGACAGACTCAAGACTTACCACCACCTCACCTCACCAACCTTCACCTTCCTCGCTCTCCTCGCCCTTCAACTCCCTTTTTTTTTTTCCCTCGCCCCATTTCTAATTATACTCGGCGCGAAGCCAACCAACACTCCATCCATCACACTGCCATGCCTTTCCTCAAGGTCGTCGTGGCCCTCTATGACTATGAGGCCAACACCGAAGAGGAGCTGACCATCAGTGAGAACAATATCCTCTACGTCATGGAGGATGATGACCCTGAATGGTGGAAAGCAAAGCTCAAGACTGAGGACCCAAATGAGAACACCATTGGCCTTATACCCAGCAACTACGTTGAGCCGGTAAATGCCATGCATTGTCAGATGACCCCCCTTCTCACGCACACGTATACCCACTCGCTCTCTCTCTCCTGCGCCTCTCCTCGTACTTTTCACTGTGGACGAAGAGTAGGAGAAGGTAGTGTAGTAAAAGCCCCTCTGCTCAAGTCGAAGAAGAGCTCTACGTCTTCCCTCAGTTATTCCGGATTCTCTAATTGTCTTCTGTTTTGCTGCTGCCCCCCCCCCACCCTTCTTTCTCTGGTGCGATTCCATCCATAGGTCCTCGAGATTGGATCCGTTGTCGGTCTGTACAAGTACGAGGCAACAAACGACGAGGAGCTGAATTTTGAAGAGGGCGAATCTCTTATCTTGTACGAACAAGACGACCCTGACTGGCTCCTTGTGGGCAATGGTACAAGCGTTGGTTTTGTGCCCAGCAACTATGTGGAGGTAATCATCACCAAAGAACTATCCAATCCGTTGGGCTGTTGTTGCTGGAGAGGGAGAGAGGGAGGGACAGGTACGACGGTGGATGGAGGAAGCACCATCGACTTTGCGGTGTCTGCTGACCCCTTCTCCCTGTGCCACTGGACCAAAAAAAAGGAACAGATTGTGCCTGAGAGGAGTTTATCCATATGCGGCGAGGCAGGGAACGAGAGCGATTGACAGAGTTGGTGCGCCGAGGTATGGTGATCATGACGTCGAGATGGCCTATTAACCGCTCCACCGCTCTCTCATTCCCTTTGAACCAGCAGATTTCTGCCGGTCAGGAAGCACACCAGGTAGTCCACGATGCCCAGGAGGATGGCGCCGACCAAACCGGATATGACGACCAGCTGGAACATCATGAGGACGACCAAAGCTACGAAACAGGCTCGACACCCACCATTGCTATCTCTTCTGCTCCTGCTGCAAATGCGGCCCCCGCGGAGAAGGATGACCTCAACTTTTGGTCTGTCAATGTAAGTGGTCTCACCTCGGACATGACACAGATTTCACCTGAAGGCTCTTACAGAATATAATGCATACTGAAGCAAGGCGCCATGTCGTCTCTTTCTCTCTCTCTCTCTAGGAGGTCGATAAGAAGAAGAAGAAAAAGAAAGGAAGTCTTGGTGTGGGTAACCATACCATCTTCTTTGGGAGTGAAGAGGATAAGGTAACGAAAAAAGAAAGGACTGAAAGCAACACGACAAGACGATATACTGGACTTTACTTGCAGGATTTGCTGACCATAGAGAAATATGTAAACACACTTTTCACTTGAACAACTCTAGTCCCCGGTTCGCCAATGGTCGATCAAGGATGTAGAGAAGGTTCGAGTAGAGAAGAAGCACGTTTTTCTGGACTTGGGCGGCTCCAACCCTGCATCATTCGACTTTTCGGCAGCATCAAAGGCGGACGCTGAGGCGATCTTTAATAAGATCCAAGATTCAAAGCAAAAGTCGCGCATTTCTCGACCTGCCACTTCTACAGTCCCCGTACCGGCAGCTCCTTCCATTCGCGACTCCATCATCTCAACCTCGACTTACCAAACTGCACCAGGATCTCCTTATATTGCTCCCGCACCGCAGCCAGAAGAGGTGCCGGATGCAGGCTATGATGCTGACGACTACGATCAACCCCAGGAGGTCTATCAGGAGCAATTGCCTGCTGTGGAGTGCGAAGGACGGTGGGCGATCGCCATGTATGATTTCCAAGCAGAGAATGAGGAGGAACTCAATGTGCTGGAGAACCAAGAAGTCTGGGTGTCTGACTATGTCAGCAGCGACGAGTGGTGGAAGTGTCAAGTCGAAGACCGTGTTGGTATAGTGCCAGCCTCGTACCTCAGAGTAAGTACACGCTACTCTACTTTTTTTTTTTTTTTTTTTTTTTTTGGCTGTTATGGTATTCCTAAAATCACAAGGAAAGCTGACCATGGGCTATTTCATCACTCTGAAAATGTGTAGTGGGCCGATGAAGTCGATCCTAATGCGGAGCAACAAGCGGAGGCGGAGCCTGTTCCCGAAGAGGCGGCTCGACCCGTTCCAGTACTTCCTGTTCCTATCCCGACAGCAGCACCAAAACTCGCACCATCGCAGCCTACTGCTGCTGGTGCTGAAGATGCTGCAGCTAAAGCACCAAAGGCAGTTGCCGCCCCTGCCGCTGCCCCTGCTGTTGCCAGTAAGATATTAACGATTTCTAGTTCTCAAAACCATGCTCAGCAAAACCCAGCGCATCTACTAACTTCCATCCCCCTTTTTTTTCGTGGGTGAAACTTCACTAGAGCCCAAGAACACGCGCGTGTGGACTGATCGTACCGGAACGTTCAAGGTGGAGGCCGAGTTCCTGGGCTACCACGATGGCAAGATCAGCTTGCACAAATTGAATGGTGTCAAGATTGCTGTCCCTGTCAGCAAGATGTCGGTCGATGACGTGGATTATGTCGAGAAGGTTACTGGCAAAAAGATTGTAGAGGATGCCGTCTTTGACTGGTACGACTTCTTCATCAAGGCTGGTATCGCCACGGAGGACGCCTTGAGGTATTCGACTGTGTTCCGGACGGAGAAAATGGATTCAAATATTTTACCGGAGCTTTCACGCGATGTTCTCAAGGGACTGAACGTCAAGGAAGGTGATATTATTCGAATCCGTAAGGCCGCAGGAACTGGGTCGAGTTCACCGTCACCAGCGGAGAGTGGCAGTGGCACGATGACGAAGCCCAAAAAGTCGGTTAGCTTTGCCGCACAGGAGTCTGAGGAGATCGATGATCGCGATCTGGCCATGAGGCTGCAAGCCGAGGAGGTCTCGCAGGCTCGCAACATGCACGTGTCCTTTACAGAGCAGCGACGTCAGCAGGAGCTCTTGGATGAACAGTACGCCCGCGAGCTGCAGGACCGCGAGAATTCAAGTAATCGCACGCCTGTTTTTGGCAAGAAGAAGGACGATACTCCTCAGCGCAAGGGTATGTGGTTTTTTTGTTTGTTTGATTATCGGGCAAGCAATATTTCTTTGGTTCATGGTTGGCCACATTATACTCATCACTGTGTTCAAACATCAATGATCAATTAGTCTCGAGACCAAAGCCTAGCTCGTCTGCGTCATCAAGTGTGGATGCATCAAAGTTCTCCAAGATTGGATCGATGCTGTCCTCGACACCTTCCTCCTCTTCCGCATCTTCTACAGCCCCCAAACAGTCTTCATCCTCATCAAAGACATCGACACCCCCAGCGCAAAAGAAGAGCCCGCACACGGATCCCAACGGTGGCTTTGAGGACGACGCCTGGGAATTGCGTGAAGTTCTAGAGAGGACATCCAAGTTCGACTACGACAACTGGAAGGTGCAGAACCGGACCGAGGAGGAGGATTGGATTGCCAAGTTTGCCGCCAGCACAGCACCCAAGGCGGAGCCTGAACCAGAAGCGGAGACGTCTGCAGAGGTCAAGTCCAAGAC